ACCTTGCTTTTTTGTTGCAACACTCGTGAGATTTTCACTAAAAGAAAAAAAAAAAAAATTTTAGGTTTATTTTTTGATTGTTTAATATTCGAAACTTACTCCTTTTTTTGTAATTTTTGTTGGTTAAATCTAGAACATATCATTTTTATGGAAATTTCATTTGTTTTATTTATTGCTCAGCTACAAAAACACTGCCTAGTTATCAAAATATTACCCAATTATGATTGGTGATGATCAGTGTGGTAGTTTCTGAGATCTGAGTTTTGGACGTATATATCGCAAGCTCCATTATAAAAAGATACACATACCAGAAAATATGAGTAAAAACTAATATATATATATATATATATAGGTCTCTATGTATCTAGTTTCACCATATATATTATATAACCATTCATTAAATTATATTCTTACTGTTTCACTATAGTAAAGCAAGGAGCTCTTATAGAGTAGTCAGAAATCATTTGTTCTAAAACAGGAATAAAAAAGAAAAAATATCATAAATGTACACAAAATCTCTAAAGTTTTCAATTTATTAAGTTTTTACAGCTGATATCTAACAATGTCATATGAAAAATCTCCATTACATTTCATTTGAAAAACAAGATGGTAAAAAAATCTCTGAGCAAGAAACCAAATAAGAATTTGGTTTATTATGAGATAATTATATTTCTATTAGTGCTTAACTCTTTCAGCACGGGCTCGGTCCCTGGGACCGACCTCATAACCATTTTGTGTTTGTTATAGTTTTCATGCTATAACTTTTAAATTAGTAAGCTAATTCTAACAAAATTTGGCAGATTATAAGTAAACATTACAATGCTTTCATACGCAAAATATAAATTTTTTTCTTATGTCTTAAGGTTTGTAAAACAATGTTTTTCTCATGTCTTTTTATTCTTTTCGCATGTTGCCTATCTATTGTGCAAGATAATTTTCATTTTAAGATTAAAAATACTTTTGTGCATCAGAAAATTTTTAAATTTCACATGCAAAATCTTTATAATGTCCAGATAGTTATCAAATGTTTCTTAAGAAACAATTTTATATTTTATCTGTTATTTTAATTAATTAATCTCTGTATGGTTCAGTAGATTTGACTGATCTCGCAACTACCATAAAATATTAGGAAATAAATACAAATTATGCCTCTTTCATTCTAGAATTAACACAAATTATAACACAAAAACATAAATGTTTAGACTAATTACCTTACATTTCATAACATTACACATTCATATATATTTATCATTTTTATTATATTGACCTTTCAGCTGTGCCCAGCTAGCAACACAGAAGTAACAATGATGCGGCTCACGTGCACTCAAGTTACCGTATCACATAACATAAAACTGACCTTTGGTAAGTAAATTGTCTTGGCTGGGTTGTAGTAGACTAGTATTTGGTAAAATACAGTCAAATTTCAATTATTATACATTATATATGTATATACATTATTGCTATTTTGAAATAAGTTCTTATACTTACTTTTCTTAAAACATAGAACAGTAACTAAAGAAGTAAAGCAAACAATTATATCTTCAAGTTACGACCTTTGTACTCTGTTGTTACTTGACACAGGTTGCTAAGCCTTTAAAAAAATTTAACATGGAGGATATGACACAAAATATTTTTTTGGTTTTATATATAAATTTGAATAACTAAAAAATCATAAATTACTACATTAAAACCATAGAATTCCACTATAATTTATCAAGCTTAGTAATTAAGATATATTTTAGTAAAAATAATATGAAATTTCGAGCAGACTAATGACACATCCTACCTCGTTAAAATATTGGTTCAAAAGAAAGAAATATCGCCAAGTCCGTTAAAATGGCTGACAAAGACACTAGGGGGACATTCTGAGCTTCCGATTGGTTATTTATGTCATATATAAAAGTAAATGTATATAAAGGAGCATTTCCAAAAATGGAAATATGTGGGCAGGGTGCCACTGTGTTTGATTTACTGCATGAGCAATATCTTAGCAAATTGAAAAGATAAGAGGCTCTTATTTCATATTCTAGCTTGTCAATATTGGTAATTTGAGTTCCCAATTCCTTCAAAACT